CAACGTCTTAGGACCGGGAGCGCTGCTGCGGAGCTGGTCTTAAGACGTCGCAAGAGGCTTAAAAGATCGGTCTTGTCTCTCTCCGTCCAAATCGGTTGCAAGTGTGTGAATGGCGCTTTAAGCGCCGTTCGCACTCTTGCAACCGAGTAAGACCAGATGAGACAAGACAGGTTTTTAAGCCTTTTGCGACGACTTAGGACCTGCTCCGCAGCAGCGCATCTGGTTCTACGCCGTCGTAAAAGGCTTAAAAATCGGTCTTGTCTCTCTCGGTCGTGCTCGATTGCACGGGTGTGAACGGGCCTTTATATGTCACATTACGAGAAAAGGCGTCGGCATTGTGCTTGTAAGATGATCACAACAACGCGTCATCAAGCGCGCGCTGCTCAAGGTCAAAGCGGACGTGCCTCTAATATAAAGCACAACGAAAAGCACAGCAACGCCAATGCTTCGTCACGAAAGCCGTGAGGCTGGCGGAGGCCAGCCAGCCTCACGCAGTAAGGGGGCGTGATATCACCGCCCGAGCGCCGTGTGAAAAGGAAAACGTGGCGCGCTGCTTGTAGAAATACGCTGCGTGTAGAAATGCCTTCGCATTCCTACACGTAAGCCGTCTTAAGTTTCTTTTGTGTGCGTTTTTTTAAAAGCATCAACCTGTTCGCTCCAAGGTCGATCGCGCCACCGTATCCACAAAGAAAGTAAATTCTAAGAATGACGTCTCTTTTCCCTTACTTACTTATTTACTGCCCTTGAGGACGACAAATTTCACTGTACAAATCCCACCTTGGACATCGGCGTGAACAGTGCATCTTCCCGTTGTTGTGATGAGATGTCCCCCGGTTGTTCGTCTTTGCAGGCCATCCTACGGCGTCATCACTTTCCGAAGGCGGTGAGTGAGCTTTCCGCTTAAAACAGAGTATCCTGCTCCGGTGTCAATGAGTGCCGTCCCGTCGTGGCCATCGATAACCACTTCGACGTTGTTTGACACCGTTGCAGAAGCGTTTTTCCGAGGCGCGGCGTTGTGAGGGGTGGAAGCTCTCAGTCCTTTTTGAATGACTATTACTCTTCTACGGGCAAAACCACCTCCCGGAGTCGCCGCCTAGTTTTCATGACGATTAGAGAGAGGTGACGAGCTGTCCTGGCGAGACCGGCAGAAGGGTGATGATGGACATCGGGGTGAGGGCGAACGGAATCTTCGACGGTGAGGCATCTCAGGAGATGTCGAGCGGCGTAGGTAGACCTCGACGTCCCGAGGTCGCTCCCCAAGGCGTGGCCGAGGGTCATAAGGCGCAAACCCTAGCAGGTCAGCTGGCGGTATATGGCATCGTTGGTTACCGTGGTTGACTTCACCGCAGTGATAGCAGATGGGTCGTTGGTCCGCCGTCATCCATACGTCGGTTGTTTTTGGCGACGGTTGGTCTCGGCAGACGTACTGATGTTGTTTATCGTGGCGTTAGGGGTACGGCTGCGCTGGTGAGTTCCTTCGTGACGCCACCGGGTAATGTTGAACAGCTGCAGCGGTTGTCGGTTCATTACGGCGTAGGTCAGCGTCGGGTCCTCGGGTGCGGCCATGGTGTTGTGGCGGTACGCTGAGCCCGGGTTTCTCTTGGGCAGCATGGTAAGACCTCTGGCGTACGGCAAACCTCAGGAAAGACTTTATCAGAGAGGTAGTCAGTCGAGAAGGAGAGCTTCAAACTTAACGACAGGTTTATTTTATATCGAAATGTTCAGATTGAAGACGATCGTCTCTCGAACGGTCGGGCTTTTTGTTGACAACTGAGAGATAGGAGGGGTCCGTCGGTGGCGCTTCCACTAAAGTGACTGACGGTAGCCTGACGAGTCAGGCCCCGCGTGTTCGGCTAATCCTGGGCTAATGCATCCCCAAAAATGGTCTTAACGACTGGGAAACATGGTCCGACCAGCTTTCTACGCACTCACAAACACAGGGAGACGAGGACGGGGGACGGTTGCGCGCAACGCAGATTGGCCGGGTCTTGCACCTTGGACGATTTTCTTGCAGAGAGTCGGCGCCGTCCGATTCCCGTTTGCTCACCGTGTCTGGCAGGTAGCCGGGAGGAAAGGCACGCGCATTATCTCAATCCGCCCGTTTGGCACCCGCCGCCGTAGAAGCCAGACGCTTTGGCGGGTCATAGCATCTCCGCCTCCCGAAGCCGTTTCTGAGGTGAAGCCGATCACCAGCCGCTCCGCCGAGGGTCGTTCAGTCGTTGACGCTGGGAGGGTCACGCTATAATCCCAGCCGCCTTAAGTCCTGCATCTGCCTCGCATTGGGTCGGTTCAAAAACAATGAGGGCCAAGACTCACGTTGGCGATAACCACAAACCACTCAGTAGGCAAGTGCCCAACCTATCCCTCAAGATAAACCAGGCTTAAAATAAACGACGCAAATGTGCTAGTGACGTAATAAATAAAATAAGAAATACACAACCGACACTCAATACAAAACGGTATCGCAGAGCAAAAAATATCAATTCCCCACTCCCAATTTTGTCGGCGCACAATTGGAGTTTGGCTCGCGGGCGTTCCTGGAGCTGCGCGTGCGCGTGTCCTGGGTCCAGCAACACTACCTCGCTCGTGTGTTGTACAGAAGGCAACGGGCATAGTTGAGCGGAACTGTCGCCCTCTGGTTCCATTCACTCCATCACAGAGTGCAGTGAAGACCTCTATATCGCCGGTCTCCGACACACCAGCTGCATCGACATTGCCTCCAGTGCCTCCTCCTGCTACTTCGCCGCCTTCGCAACCCCTACAGCACTCCACTGGGTCTCGGCAGTCTCGGGCGCAATCCCCTACGCTTCGTGCAGCATCAGGCCGCAAGGGGGTGCCTTCGTCGCAGATACAAGTGCGCCCTCAGCAACAGGGCAGAGTTTCTCACTTCGGGCGACTCATCAAGACGCCCGAGAGATTTAATGTATGAAGACGACAAGATTGTGTCTTTTCCTTGAACGGTAGATTAGAGGACGCAAGTGGCTTTCCCTCGCCCTTTTCCTCCTTTCGGGGCTGCGTCTACGTTATCACTCGGCTGAATAAAGAAGGGGTCACTCGCCGGTTGGAACGCTGCATGTCTGCGTGTCATCAGAGTCCGCGGCACAGACTGCCTCGTGACCATTTTTTAGTTTGTGCATCTGTGTTTGTATATCTCTAGCCTTTGAGTGAGCTTTGGCTCGTGATGAAAGAAAAAAAAATGCTCCGTTTCGCAATAGCTACGTCGGAGCCCACACTACGACTCAATGCAGCCAATCAAGCAGGGGCAAATGTGCAAGGTCCGGCGCTCGTCACCTTTTTTACTGTGTGTGATTGTTTTACCCGGTAATAGATCAAACGCATGAAGACAACGAGCGCAATGATGATGCACATTTGGTGCTTTTCGATTGGCTCCGTCAGATCGTAGCGTTGACTGTGGCCAGACCTAATGTCGTATACTAACTGTCAAGACCGTTTATAATGAAGTCGACAAGAATTGGAAATCACACCGCTATATCCGCTATTTCGTTGTAACAAATTTCCGTCATAACGAAGTGCACAAGGAAACGGAAAAATGGTGATCGCTTCGCTCGCTGTTGCCGCTATTTTGTTATAACCGAATTCGTTATAACCGGTCTCGACAGTAATAATCATTTCTCGCATATCTTCCATCGTGAGCCTCGAAGAAGCTTTATTCCACCCAGGGTGACCAGACGCCTCCGTGATTCTCTGGAAAGGCGCGGGGGTCGGAAGGAACGTCTAGCGAAGGCACCATCAGGCTCTCGTACGAAGACACTTTGTTCATTAAAAAGCGAAGTACCTGTAAAAAAAAATAAAGTGCATGTAATCGAGCGATAGTTCTTCATCTGTTCTTTCGATTGATCTGTTTTCTACTTTACATTCTACGCATAATTTGTTCTTACATTATAAACTTCACATTTCGGTCTTAATTTTTATTTTCATTGCAATTGGGCACACATCTTTTTTTTATAAAAGACACAAATGTTCAGCAAAACCCTTATTGCGTCATTATTTGACCATTAAACTGCCAGAAAGTGTAATACGGACAACAATAACGCTGCTGCCTCTAGTTTCAAAATTTGCATTGCCTTGTGATGTGTGAGAAGTAAGGGATAATCTCTGGCACAAGAAAAAAAAATCACAGCACCCAAAGGATAATGCATAAAGTTCTCAAACCGGGTTCAAACAAACTTCGCTAGAGTCGGCGCTACAAGGAACATTATGTTGCGCAAATATTTTCTTATTAAACTTAGCACTATTAACCAAAAATGTTACATTACACACTAAATAAATTTAAAACCCAGCGTCTGTGTCTGCGACGAGCTATTGACAATAATATTATGAAAAAGGACCTTTGACTTCTGTACTGCGCCTAAATTGGTGCGCCTACTTGCGCTTGTTTGTGAGTGTGTATTAAATTCAGGGGTAGAGGGGAGGGGGGAAATGCCTGGATGAATTTTAGCGGACGAATTCAGATAACTGGATGTGAGATTATAGTTTCTGAACTATTCATTGTAGTATTAATCATACACGCTAGAGGCGTTTTAGTGACCCAGGAAGCTGGCCCTAACGCTCATGTACGCGCCGTATTTTCTGCGGGCTATTAAAACTCCGTCTAAATCAAACTTCGGACTCACTTGTGACTGTTGAAGAACGTTCAACCATCTTTACCTCCAAATTTATATTTATAAAAATGTTGTATTTACTACAGTGACTTAGAGCTCCAGAAATACCGTGCGTAACTTATGCTCGCGCTTCTTGCTTTGTGATTTGTTCCTCTGCATCCCAAGAGACTAATAAGGCAGCCTCACTGGCCGCGGGCTGTTAGCGAGATGCTCGTGACTTGGCACGCCATTTTATCTCCAAGATATAGTGACGTGGACACAACGTTTACAAGGCTAGTACTACCAAATAAATACTCTCTCTCAAAAAAAAAAAAAAGAAGCATTCAGAGTCCAGTTAAGGACGTGCTGAGTCGCCATGTGGTATACAAAAAAATATATCTAACCCACCCTTCGGTTTATACCAGCCAGGTTGATTCTCTCGCAGGGATCTCGCTTCACGTCAAACAAGTATGGTGATTTTCCGGACACAAAGTTACTCCAGCGCTCTCGACCGCAGTCCACTATTTCCTGGTTTTTCGACTTGAACGATGGCAAGTCACTGGAATTGTACAGAGCTTGAAGGACCTTGGACACCGTCGAACGTCGTCTCAACTCGCCCACATAGCTTGCCGGCCGGCTTCCACCGGGAATTTTAAAGTGGGCGTCTCCCTGACCGTCGACGCTCGTGCCCAGGACTAACTTGTAGTTTCGGTACCGCAATGCGGCTGTTCGGTCGGTGGGGTGTATGTTGATGAGCACTTCCTGGCGAGGTGAAGCCGTGGCTTCTGACAATGCTTGCCACATGTCGAATCCATCGCTCTCGCCAAGGAGGGATATGTTTCCGCCTAGACAGAAGACAACAGCTAAACGTCATTGATAGTAGCCGGTGACCACCAAAAGATACTGTTTCCATTTTTACGGTAATAAGTATTAATTATAATTAACTTTTTATTGATCAGCTTAACCAGTAATTTAGTCACTATTCCTAGTAGCTATGGTATTTTACAGTTAATTATTCAAAGTTAAGCTAATAAGCTAGCGGTTTTCATCTAAGCTAAAGAGCTAGCGGTTTTCAGCTAAAAGAAAAACTAACCTAAATTATTCTATCTTGAACTAAATTCAACTAAACTAACCTAAACCGACCTGAACTAACCTGAACAAAACTCAACTGCTAACCTAAACTAAATTTAACTAAATGGAACTAAGCTTTACAAAACTAATCAAACCTAACCAGACTTAAGCAAACCAAACTAGACCAACCTAACTTGAACTAACCTAAATTAAACTAACCCAACCTAACCTAAACTAACCAATCCTTACTAATGGACAAAGTGCGTATTGGTGCGGGTCAAGATTGAAGAAAGAATAAACAAGTAAGACGACGACGAACGATGTGATTTTGTCGTCTTCGTCTTACATGATGATTTTTTCTTCAATCTTAACCTACCCTAATTAAGAGCGAGAGGTCTAAACTAACCTATTCTAATTTGTGCGAAGCTATATCAATCGAACTATTGGAAGCTGACCTAAATAAATATGCCATAACTTATCCAAGTCTAGCCTAGCCTCACGGAGTCAGGCAGAATATCATGCGAAAGAGACGCTCTTTTGAAAGCAAAAGCCAAAACCACGACAGCAGCCTCAGATATGAGGAGTCAAATATACGCGCGTCGTAAAACTGATCAGCAAAAAGAAAGTATAACGTGCAGAAGTGCCAACTTTACGTGCATGGAAGCCTCTCGAAGGCACCAAGTTAATATTAATTTTGGTTAATGCTGCACGGGGTAGGGGTGATCGCGACATGAGGAATGCTGTCTGCTGCAGATGTAGAACACCGATACAAAGGATAACACGTCGAGGAAGTGTGTTGTCAAGGGCAGGAGCCGAGCTACCCAGTTACAATACTGCCGCGTGCATGACCGAGATGAAACGCTTCTCCATGCACCCAGAAGATTTGGGTTTACCCTTACCCCGAGTGTAAAAGACAAGAAGGCCAGGATGACCTTGCCTATACTCCCTTGACCCCTAAGCTGAGACTACAGTAGGAGCTACTTGCCAGCGGCACCAGTTAGCCGCCTCCCTCTTACCACCTGACCCTGCTCTCCGCGCGCGTGGGGGAGGTGGGAGGTTGATGACGTGGCCAAAGAAACGAGTACGACTGGTCTAACGAATACGTAGCTTCCACCGTAGTCTCAGCAGCTGAGAGTCGGTCTCGCCCTAGCTCACTCCCGAACATTCCAGGTCGAATAGTCCAGATAACGAGTCTTGTTGATAAGGAGCTGAGTGTGGCCGTGCCGACTCACACTCCCGTCGACGACACACTCTTTCTCCAACGCTCGAATCTGGCTTTTACGACCACGATGCTCTGTACTTGACTATATCCCTATTGGTTGTTCGTTTCTTTCTGGCAAAAGTTCGCCGTATAAACCCTTATTTTCCGTTTACGCTCGTCTAGCTTTTTTCTATTCGCGACAGTAATAAGACTAGTTTATTAAGCGTATAAATATGGTGGTAGTTAGGAAAACAAGCTGTACAAGCAGCTTGACTGGTCCCCAGCCTCCTAAACAGACTCACAGTGGTGGCGAAAATATTTAAAGCAGGGCCGTTTCTTGATAGAAAACAAACTAGAAACGAACAAAACACCAAAAATATCAACGATAACAAGGTTGCGAGCAGGCATAAGCCTGAAACAGATATGCAACAGTCGAGGGCCATACCCACTGAAAAATTACATTACGTAAAATCCCTCTGTTTCGCGGTTAGTTGAAGAATAAAGCAGTGTACAGTATTTATCTTGACAGAATAAGATTGCGTGAGCTTATGAAGTTTATATCGATATTTGTTTGGCATGGATGTGTTTAGTAATGAAGTCAAGGTTTTTTTTTTTTTTTTTTTTTTTTTTCAATTGTTAGAGACCCATACGTTGTACGCTATGGATTGACTATCAAGAAGTCAGGCTGACGAGTGGAATATCTTCATGGTTTTGTTCTCTGAGGTGCTAACAATAAAAATAACTATTTGTTTTGAGCCTTTCTTGTTTATATTTCTTGTTAAGCCTGTATTCATAATGCTCATGTATTTTCATTACATCCAGTGTTTTAAAAACTCATTCTGCGTGAGAATAATAGGGCACGTTGCGAAAAACTCATAATTCTTTTCTTTTTGCTATAAAACTATTCTGTGTAGATGTGTTTTAGTTATAGTGCCCCAGACAAGAAGGCAATAATTCAAAGTCTTATACAAAAGCAAATTAACGCTTAATGGAGGTATTAGGTGATGTCGGTGAAATCTGCCAGAAATGGCAAGCGAGTTTTGAAATAATATGATATGATATGTGATATGATATGATATGATATGATGTGATATGATATGATATAATATGACAATCTGTCCAAGACCGTTCAGCCCTAAACTTACGTGGCGGTGGGAGCTACGGACTTGCCAGACCAATCAAACCTCTGCATTTCCTCACCTGACCCCGCTTTCTGCGCGTCGGTATGGAAGGAATGGCGATCACATGGCGAAATGTCGACGTATGACTGGTCTGATGAAACACGTAGCTTCCACAGCGCTGTCACCTATAGGGAATGCAGTCAGCCAACCGTTCGTCCGTCCAAAAACAAGAGACAGCATTCGCGCCTCGTTTTAGATGCTTCTTGAATGATCATCTGGCTTCTCGATATCATGTCCAACTTCGTTAATAATCAAGCGGGAGAATGTTCAAATCCACGCGAGATCTCTTAGTGAGGCAAAATCACGAAACGCACTATTATTCTTCTCATCCAGAAGCTCAAACTAGGAATTTTGCGAACCTGTCACGTTTTCAGTTCGACCAGGGTCGACATTTTCAAAACATTTACGCCGCGCTCGATTACGTAGTTTGATAAAAGTTCGACTTTAGTTCGACTGTTTTGCGCATGCGCGGAAATTGGATAATGAGCTGACGCCGCCTGGCAGAGGGAGATTGCAATATTTAGCTGTTATATAGGATAACAACTTATATCCTTTCTCTTATATTTCTTATATTAGATAATTTGATAATAATTTATTTCACAGAATGTTTACATTGTCTTATAGAACATCATAATGTAGAAAACCCGAGACTGTGGTAAAAGCAAGGAAACGGAGTCGAAGAAGAAAGACAGGGGAAAAGAACGTCTCAAACTCAGCTATTGCGTTTATTTCCTCGAAGTCTTTTATACCCACACTCTAACCATCGACTTCCAACGTCACAAGGTCATCCTTTGTTCTCTATACAATCCTACCCACACTGGTTTTCACCTCCACCGTACACGGTGACCTCAATTCCAACTGAAAGTTGAGGACCTCGAACAAAAGAACCAATACAAAAAAAAAAACAAAAAAAAACGGAACCATTTTTTTTCCAACCGGAGTGCAAAATCTAACCGAGAACCGATAAGACTTCCGACTGAACCCCTGCCCCTAAAATGACTAATCCCACGTTCACTTACAACTATTACAAAAAAAAAGAAAAAAAGAAACCTTTGGATTTTAAGAAATTTCTTTTAACCACTTCCGAGTTGCATCGAAGCATGGCTGATACAATTGCCGATGGATTTGATACGAACTGTCTCTCTTATGAGCCTCTTAGTGTTGTTGCGTTCTCTGTGCAGAATGTCAGTTTGCGACCAATGTGCCGTACAATTGTTACACTCACTAATGTGTCTAGCAATCTCTGAATTGGAAGCGTTTATTTTTACATTTCTTCTGTGCTCTACCAATCTATCATTTACACATTTACACACCTTGCCGTCTGCCCCACATACTTGAAACCGCATTTCAGTGGTATTTGATAGACCACCCCTTCCTTGCAATCAACCGACTTAACGCGGTGCGCTTTCTGACACACTTTCTGGCTCGTCTGAAACGGCGTCAAACGGTTCAGCTTAAAGTCGGACTTAAACGCTACATCTATCCCAAATTTTTTTGCGCATGCTTTAAGGTTATGAGAAATTACGTGAAAATACGGAATAACCGCATAATGCTTTTTCGCTTCCTTTTCTGGTCGTTGCTTAGCCTTTTGCTGTAGTTCCAATTGCCTTTTTATGAACACACCGTCATAGCCTGCATCCTCTAACCTTGACCACTGCCTTTCTACCGCACAACCCATAAAATGGGCACACGACTTATCCAGTGCGTTGCTGATAAGAGATTTGACTACACCTGCTTTTACTGATTTAGCATGACAACTTTTCCTACTCAAAACGGGTTTTGCGGCCATTCTTCCGTACTCCCAACATAGACCCCCCTCCACGTGAATGCGTAAGTCCAGAAATTGTAAAATGTCATTGTCCGGCTTTTCCGGACAATGGCACAATGACAATGATTAGTCATTTTGGGGGCAGGGGTTCAGTCGGAAGTCTTATCGGTTCTCGGTTAGATTTTGCACTCCGGTTGAAAAGAAATAGGTTCCGTTTTTTGTTTTTTTTTGTATTGTTTGTTCTGTTTGAAGTCCTTAACTTTCAGTTGGAATTGAGGTCACCATGTACGGTGGAGATGAAAACCAGTGTGGGTAGGATTGTATAGAGAACAAAGGATGACCTTGTGACGTTGGTGGTCGATGGTTAGAGTGTGGGTATATAAGACTTCGAGGAAATAAACGCAGTAGCTGAGTTTGAGACGTTCTTTTCCCCCGTCTTTCTTCTTCGACTCCGTTTCCTTGCTTTTACCACAGTCTCGGGTTTTCTACATTATGATCAACATCCACCAGCTCACCTGCGCACTCACAGATTTTTCGTTTTATAGAAGTTGGTAACTTAAAAAGACAAAATAAAAATAAATTAAGTGTCTGTATAGAACACCTATGTCACAAAAAACGAAAGAGAGATTTTCCCGAAATAAATAAAAAGTGCAATATTTAGGTCATTAATCTTAATCTACGTGAGGAGCGATTCCTAAACTTTGGTAGGTCGTTCCCAATGTAAGCATGTCGCTATACTCAAAATGAGTCTCGCAATATAAATAAACTCGATTTATTTTTAGCGAGCGAAATTCTCTTTTGTGATTGTATGCTCCATCTAAATCTTTTAAAAGTGGAAAATATTCTATTACTTCTCTTCTTTTTGAATCCACGGAACTGTCAAGTGTCGTAATTCGAAAGTTCACAGATTGAGTCGAACTTCCAGTGGGACGAAAGTTTACGACATTTTTACCAGCAGCCGAGAGGAGAGTTGGCAACCAGTCCGTGATGTGCATCATCTGGTCTGAAACCCTGGCACGCCTCCTGAGCCTCGTGCTCCAGACGAAGGCCGGCACCCGGGTTCCGCCTTCCCACAGCGTCCCCTTGCCTCCCCTCAGGGGCCAGTTGTAGCCCCGGTTGGACATGTAACCATACGGCTGGCCGCCGTTGTCGGAGCTGAACACGATGATGGTGTCGTTGAGCATGCCGGCAGCGCTCAGGCTTTCCACGATGCTTCCGATGGATTCGTCCAGGGCGTCAACCATTCCTGCGGAAAAGGGTGAAACTCGCTTGTGTGAGGATTAAACAATCGATGAAACTTTTTTTTTATACAAAGCGAGAAGAATGTTTTTGTGGGAGATCCAGGAGTTACTGCTAGATAAAAAAAAAAACTTTAAGATGCTCTTAATAGGGTGTTCGAATGTATTGCTTGCTAGATTTGCCTTGCTGAGAAAAAAATTCTCGCCTGACAGGGTATCGATATAATTTGATAGCCTTCTAAAATTTCTCTGCTTTGCTGATCTCTATATCTCCTTATTATCTTTTTCTTCAAAAATTGTTGGTGAGTGTATGCACGGGAAACAGTGTGAATTTAGGAGGCCTCCCACCGTCGCATGAAGGGAGTAAAGATGTTCTCGTAGTCGGCCGTTTAGGCATCGTCCAGTCTGTCCTATATGTGACAACCACCATACGTTAGTTGGATCTTGCACACAACACCCTCCGAGCAGGGAACCAACTTCTGCTTGTGACCCTTTTGTCATTCGGCTGTTGAGCGATTGTAAATTACGAACCCCACCGTAGAACAAATATTGGTGACCTTTAGAGAGCAAAAAGCCTTCCTGGAAAGCGCCTAGAACAATTGATTTCGGCTGACCCAGTATTTAATTCCTCATTTTTTATCAATTTTTATCTAATTTTTTTTTCTTCATCAGCGTTTTGTGTTTTTTACTCTTCTCTTTGTCACTGCTTGTGAGCTGTTCCTATTATGAATTTTTTGGGCACCATTATTTTCATAAAGCAAGGGCAAACAAGAGTGTGCTTATTGCTGTATAGTTATTTCTCCATATTTTTTTCAGTTTTGATGGTGACGAAAATACAACTGGTCCTAACGAAGCGCCAATCTACAGAGACGTATTTATAAAATTATATAGCCTAACGGCAACTAGCTCTAGAGCCCCTTATCTGCCGCCAACTGATCGACTGGACCCAAGCTCGAAATGGGCACGCCATGACACTGTTAGCACGAACAAGCGATCACCAGCTTGTTCCGTTTGAAGATATTAATCACATTCTCTTAGAGTGCCAACGTTTTGCCACTGAACTTCACGGGATGAAAATTCGTCTTGGACTGCTGGACAGGCGTTCTGTCATTAGCAAATATACTGAGCCCTTCGCAAGGCACTTAAATGTAAACATTTGACTGAAATCTGTCAGGTTGGGGAATAAAGTATTAAAATAAAGGACAACCAACCAAGCCCTAAATGCGGGACCGAACGTTTCGAGGCCGGTTCGACCTATTCTTTAGGAGTAACTGTAGTGGAAAGGAGCAATACTTCGTTTTCTTCCATGATAGTTAAGGCGTTGTTTTTTTTCTTCAACTTCCATGGTCGTTGTTCCGTAAAGTGTCAAAGCCCGTTGACATGCACAGATGGCAATGCTCCAAGGGACCTATTGACGTTTCCCGGCGTAGTTTGAATGTGCCAGGATTCCAGGAACAGCCTTTGGCGGGAATTAGTATTAGCCTCCAGGATAAGCGTATTGGTGAAGTCAATTTGATGGTCATTTTTGACGCAACGTTCGGCAACCGCGCTGCGTTCGTGGTCGAATTTTTTCACGTCATGTTTTTGCTGTCCGATCCTTTATAGATAGTGGCTAGGCACTCCGGGCAGGGAATCTTACAAACTACACCTTGTGCACTCTATCTAGATGGTCGATATTTCGGCAGTGGTAGAAACTTCACGAGAGTTGAAACTGGCTTGTGATTACCTTCCTTTGCTAACATACGTGCCAGAGCTTCGCTGGTCCCTTTATGTAGGGCACGCTGATACGCGTGGCGGGCCGGTAATGCGTACCATCAGGCAACTGCAGGCGTCGTCAAGCTCGGTTTTGGCGGCGGGCAGTGCGGTGCATAAAGCTACCCGGATACCCGTTCTCCTTGAATTTACGGATGACCGTTTTTCTTCGTTTCATCTTTCAGATTCAAAAACGTAAATGCTTTTTGCCTTTGGCAGGAGCGTGGTGACCAGCGACAACTTATAAGTCGTTGGGTGGTTTGAGTCAAATGGGCGGTAGCGCCCAGTTTGCGTTGGCTTTCTGTTGACTGAAAAATTCAGCTCTTCATGAGCACATCGAGGAACGGTATGGTGTCTTCGTTTTCCCGTTCCAAGCTGAATTGTATGGCGGGCTCGATGGAGTTGAGATGTGCTAAAACGTTGTCTACTTCAGAATTTTAAAGGATGCAGAAGCAGTCGTCCACATATCGCAAGAACACTTTGGGGCTAATGGCGAAGGACTGGAGGCCCTTTCGCCTTATGGCTTCAATGCAGAAATTTGCCTTTGTGACGGAGATGGAAGCACCCAGTGGTGTTCCGCTGGTCTGCTTAAAGTGCTCTCCGTTGAAGCTTAAGTAAGTTCTACGCAGGGAGAACTCGAGAAGGCGGCAAAGATCATTCACACTGAGCTTGGTCCTGCTGCTCAAGTCACTGTCTCTCTCCAGGGCGGTTCTGGTTGTGGTGATTGCTAGGGAAACCACCACGCTCTGGATTTGGTTGAAAACTGGTAGAAAAATTAGATATAGAACCTTCAGTGGTACTTCACTATAATGCCTTTCCCTCCTAAGAGTATATGACCTATTGTTTTGGAATTCTTACGTTGCAGACTGCAATTCTTGCTTCGCAGGTATCTACAACTATTGACGCAATATTGTGAGCAGCTGTACTTGTGTTTAAGCTTTTTATTTGGGGATACTTTTTTTTACGATATTGCTCCTTCATCAAAGTGTGGCAAGGCGTGAGAACCTCGTCATGGTGCAACAACAACCTTTTGTCCTGGTTCCGACTTGTTGTAAAAAGACAAAAAAATGGAAATGAAACTCTCGTAAACAAAATCATTGTATTTTACGTCACAATTTTCTGTAGGGAAGTAAATTTACTTGAGTTGCATTTTATTTAACTGCATCCACCGCATTCCAGAACAGCATCTTACCCGCATAACGTGTTCTGTTCTTTTCTCCAATGTACGAAAATTTGCCAATATTTTCTTGCGGAGCCTGAAAGAAGTCTCCAGGAAGCGCGCAGTGCACGGATTGATGCGCCAAGTAAAGGAAAAGTGGCTAGGAAAGAGAAGAGCATAACATATAAATCAACGTATGACGGTGTTTTAAAAGAGCCGTGCAACAAGTTTTAGACATTCAACAAAGAGCAGTTATATACAATCTTTGACACTCTTAACCTAAGAAACAAAAGTTAGATCCCTGCAATGGCAAATATTTTTTTTTTCATGGATCCCTTTTGTCTCCAGGCTATTCCATAAGATACTTCTCTTAGATGTTCCAGAAATAATTTTGGATAGATTTGTAACCTAGAAAAAAATTGCCTTGATCATAATTATAATGCAATTAAATGCAAAGAGGCAAGCGAGCTGGACAAGAATGGCGAAATTAATCCCTGGAGAAGGGGACAAGAGGAACAAGGGACAAACATAAATCTCCAAACACAGCTAGGTGACTGGTGAGCGACCGAAAAAATCCGCCTGGTCCGGGTATTTAACCCGGGACCTCTCCATTACAGGTGGTGCGCTCTACCAACTCAGCTAACCAGGGGTTAGACGTCAGTAGAGCAAACGGGTTTTATCAGCCGCCACCAGTCTTACACCAACAAGGGTGAAGCTTGCAATTGTCCCTTGTCCCTCTTGTTCCCCTTCTCCGGGGATTAATTTTGCCATTCTTGTCCAGCTCGCTTGCCCCTTTGCATTTAATTGCATTATAATTATAACCTTAAATTGCAAGCTTCACCCTTTTTGGTGTAAGACTGGTGGCGGCTGATAAAACCCGTTTGCTCTACTGATGTCTAACCCCTGGTTAGCTCAGTTGGTAGAGCGCTCCACCTGTAATGGAGAGGTCCCGGGTTCGATACCCGGACCAGGCGGATTTTTTCGGTCGCTCACCAGTCACCTAGCTGTGTTTGGAGATGTATGTTTGTCCCTTGTCCCTCTTGTTCCCCTTCTCCAGGGGTTAATTTCGCCATGCCTTGATCATAGCGCACAGATAAAAAGAGCGGTGACGTTGTTGGCATTTTCAATATTCGGGGAGTATAGAATATTCCGTCAATCTTTTTTTATCTAGCAACGGCGCTTTACAAGAGGCCATGAGCATTGCGTGTTCAGAAATGAAATTAAGAACGTCCTTCCACTCTGCTAGGGTGAGACTTTATAGGCGGTGGCTTACTAGGATATAGCCGAACCACAACATCGCGAACGGACATTCCATCGAACCATTCGTCGAGAACTCAGCGCGTGTCTACATAATCGCTTGTAACCGGAAACGGAAATTAAAGATAGGTACATTTCTCTGTCGTAACAGTGAACACGATGGAGTAGTACTTAATCCTTTCACAAATTCGCTTGAAGCCAACTTGGATCTGAAAATTTCTCCGCCAGACCACGTGATTTAAAAAACACATACATTAGAAAGAAAAAAGAAGTTAAAACGAACGATAAGGCATGCATTCTTTTTTCAAAAAATATTTTTTGCGCCCTTAGATAACAGTGTAGGTGGAGGTCAAGGCCCGCTCTAAGCCCCACCCACAGATGAGTGGCCCAACCCGTAACTACTTGATTGGCTTGGCTGTCCGGCCGAATATTTTCGGATTACAAGTGGCTCCTATAGTCACTGAATTTTCTTAGAAAACCAAAACCCCCAAGCTCCGTTTCAAAGTCGAGTTGCGGCGCAGCAGTCGCGATCTCCCATATGGTGCTGCTCTGTGGGGTCAAAGCGAAGAGCGCAAGTGTAGCGTTTCGTTCTCGTGCGAGCTCTCAAATCCACTCTCCTGGTCTGTCGCGACACTGGTTCCTTTTTATTAAATGTATTTTCTACGTTCCGTGCAGTGCGTGACTTGCTCGTCGCTGCCTCGTGTCTTGTCCCGAAACAAATCGAAGTCGAGTGTTAGGCTTAGCGTCCTAGGCGCAGAGTTTGAAACGCAGCACCAGCGCAACCGCAGCGAGCAAACGAGCCGGCAATCCTCTCTTGGCCAACCAGATTAGCAGCTACTTCATTTAAAACATAGAAAAGATAAACGCCCACATTTATTTCGTCCTACCTGATCGATGCCTAGAACTCTCACCCGTGAGTACTCACAGTAGCCGTGGTAACGTGGAAACGTTTTTTAACGTTGTTTGTTGTTTTGGGCCTATTCCCAAAATGGCCGTCTGATAACTTCCGCCACGGTATAAACCAGCCAATCAAAATTGAATTCGGCGAGATTGACTTCCGGTAAGTGGACTGAATGGAATTCGGCACTCTGCTGATATCATTCAGCGACTCTAATGTCTCCTTTTCGCGATATTCGGTGCGTCTAGTCTGCCGTCTGACACCGCCAGCAAGTTGTGCGAGCAGACGTGTGGCAGCCTAAATATGATTACTGGATGGAGAAGCAATTTTGCAACGAACGATCCCCACATCATTCATTTTTCAAACCCATGAAAGCAGAGAAATAGAGCGTAGTTAACTATGTTTCTGAGTGGGTCCTAAAGCGGGCTACCTCCCTTTAAATTGCATCAAACGACGTAAACATTTCTCTAATCGATTTTTTTTCGTTACAAAAAAAAATATGTGTCCCTTCTAGGCTTCTTAAAAAAAACATTTTATTTTTTATTTTTTTTTTATTTTAGTGTTTGCACAAGAGAAGCCAATCGATCGTTACCTTCGACTTGTCGTGATGCTGAATGACCGACTTGAAACGCCTGGTGAAAAGGTGCGTTGAATACTGACCACTCTCGTTAAATACCGGAGCTTCGTTGTCTCGAAAATCCAGACCTCTATGATCCTGGAATTGAAGATTGGGTAAAATATATATATTTATAAGAAGTCCTTACTGTAATATGTCCTTAAATATTTGAAACTGATCTGTAAAATTCTTCAGACATTATTCATACCTCTCCAGCTGTGTGGTCGTAATAGTCTGCAGCGCCCGTATAAAATCCATAAAATGAATCAAAACCCCGATACAGTGGGGTGTATTCTTTTTCAAAAAAGCCGAGGTGCCACTGATGGAAGAAAGAAATGCATACAAAATAATTGCGTGTATGTTTAAACTATTATAAACCTAAACTATGGTACAATCAATAGAGGCATGCAACCATCTTAGCTTCAGGATAAAGTTGTTTTTATATGTTAAAAAAATAAAGTGACTTCGTTAAGTTTTTATTTAATGCGAACTTCGACGCTCACATCAAAAGTTTTCTTTCAAAGTTCATCAAATTATAACAACCTCGATGATGTCTAGATATACATATACTAATCTTTGTTTTCTTATATTTGCTTTCTTAATAATAACGAAATGAATTATTTTGACTGGGATTTCGTGAATTGCACTGTAGTTATGTCATTGGAGGATACTGTTTGACTCTAAACGTAATATAAATGTTTAAATCCTTAGTTCCTTTTTGCGCTGAATTTTTGTTTATCTTTTATGCGAAACCTTCCAAGATCCCTCACTTTTGGTTTTCTTTATTGCAGACTATACCTTTATAATCCAACCGCGAAATTTTAATACAGGTTAATACTAAGACGATACATTACATGTATCATAAGTATGATTCAAATGGCAGTAGAAATGTTTCCGAAAGCATTGTGATATGACAAGCTTTAGAACTTTTCTTCAGGTGCGTGTCCTAAAAGCACCAGGTTACAACGGGCCAAACTCTCAATCTATCAAAGCAAGCAGATTTGTTTGTGAATCATGCAACCAAAGATGAGGCAAACGGCTTACTTTGCCGATCATGTGAACGGCATAGCCGAGCTCTTTAAAATGTTGGGGCATAATCTTGAACTTTAACGGAAGGCCCCAAGGTTCGTCATCCTGGATTGGTCCCTCCTGCATCCCTAGGAGTAGCGGACAAAGGAAACATTGCCAACTTAAAAAGTACGCCTTCCTTCTGTTTGCCGCCAAGGGAGATTTAATGCGATGGCATTTGGAACCGTTTGCACCTTTCCAGAAGTTCAACGAGTTCGACGCATTCGGTCTACTTTAGTGCGGGGCTGTTGCTTCAATTTTTCTTTCATAAAAAAGGTGCATAAGTATTCACAGATCCAATTTCTCCGAGCCATTTCAGAACATTTATGAACATCACATTCATTTAGACATCATGTCAGTACTTTCGCAGCCGGAAAATTTAAAAGAGTTGAATTCTTGTGAATGAAGGTTGGGCAATAATTTTATTAACTGTGTTCCGAATATTCACTGAATTTTACAAAAAAAAAAGTATGTTTTTTCCTTATGGTATGGATAGACATTATCTTAAATACTTATTTTGTGGAGGTTAAATTTAAGAATACTGTATTCCTGCTAAGAAAAATGGAGGCGGTGTTAACTGCGTTCCGAATATTCACTGTATTTTGGAAATTATAAAAATTGTTCTTGTGGTACATTTGTAAATTACGTAGAGCATATATATTTCCCATAGAAAATTAGAAAATAGAGTAGTTTGTGTAAGGGAAAGTTAGCTAATATTTACAGCGTTTCAAAGATTTACTGAATTTTCCAAACTCTATGATTAATTGTTTCTATGGTATATTGAGATATAGGGTAAAGCACTTTTTTTTTGCGACAGAGAAACAAAGAATATAGATTCGTGTGAGCAAAAGCAAGGCAGTAAACTTAACTGTGTTCAAAAATCTACAGAACTCGGCAAAATATAAAGCGTGTTGTTTTTATTGTGCATTTGGTCATCGAGTAAATCAAAGGCCATATTCACGAAACGATTTTACTCCAAAGATCTGCGTACTACAAACACCTAAGAAGAAATGTGTACACGGGAAAAGAAATTAACTTAAGTTTTGCGTACGTTATGATGGAATTTTACGACAGTTCCAGAGTTGTGTTACTCACTTTTTTACGTTCAAATCAACATGGTCAACAACGTCGCTCAGCCACTTCGTCGCTACGACCAACGAATATTTATTTTTCTTCGTCCTCCTCACGAACGTCTTGACTTCAAGCAGCAAGAAAAGAAAGCGATACTTGAAACCGACCTTGACGGAGATGAACGCTGGATCCACGGGCTCCGTAAGAAGCCACAACGGCAACGATTTCACCGACCAAGCGACCCCCAAAGGCTAGCTTTGCAGGCTATCGACTTAGCAAGGCACTCCGACGTAGCTTTGCTCCGGCGGTCCCTGGTCAAGATGGTCTGCCAACGACCGACTGACTTGCTCAATGGAATATGCCCGCGCGGCCCTTGTGGACCCTTCCCGTATGAATAGTTTAATCGCTGACCTCGCCTTTTAATTAAAAGGTCAATCTTTTCTTTTTTTTTTTTTTTTTTGTCCGCTTCTTGTTTTCAGAGGCAGCGATGGCGAACACACTTGTCAGAAAGGGACACTTTCATCGATTCTATCTCCTTGTTTCGTGTGATTAGAGCTCAAATAAACCCAGTATGAATAACGTTCGTAACATATAGTAGTATAATTCGTTATTAATATGTTTTTATTCTGACATGACGGTACGTCAACACTGTTGAGCTAGTGCAGTTCGTGGGAGCTGCGCGATGCCGATCCAACCTTCATCTGCCCAGTGTAACGTCAGCATCGAGTTGCAATCGTAAAAGATTGGTCCCGAAGCACATACCGAGATCGCAGTCCAAGAGCGCGGATTCAGCGCTTCGATCAAACTCGCGCGTGTGCGCTCCCAATGCAAACATGCATTTACGTGGCTCTTGTTGACTCGTTTAGTTAAAACGCATCTTCTTGGGCGACCATTCCCGATGCCGCCATTCCCGATGCCACGAAAACGCCGTAGCGATTAGTTTCCGTGTGCGCCGATTTCCAAACGAGTGGCGCGGGCCGACTTCTTTTTTTAGCAACGATGATAGTTGCTTTGACATCGTAACGATCGAGTTCGATTGCAGTTGACGAAGGCGATTATCTAGGCCTCGGCATTCGAGTCCGTTTAAATCATGGTAGCGTCGACATTTCACTGCTAGGTCACGATCCACAGACAAGCGCTGGCGAAACGGCCGCCTGCGTTTGTTAATAAAAATCCACGTGGTCCGAACCATGCCGAGTTCCTTGATTGGTGGTTCGTGTTGCCGAAGACGCTGTCGCTATAGCAACAGCCTGCTCTCGAGGGTATCGGGAGCTTGCGGGACATCGGAAGTTCAAGTTTTTCCGCACAATGGCGTCGCTTTCCTCCTCTCGCTACGCGTCTGTGAATACCAATTTCTCCACTTCTTTCGATATGCATAACTTACGAACTGCTTAGCTAGGTTGTCGTAGCCTAAGAAGTATTTCGTAAATCTGACCTCAGATCTTTTGAGGCAGAGTACTTTAAAAAAAAAAGAAGTGTAGCGTCCGTGTAAGAGTTGGTCAGCTAATAACTGAGTTCCGAAGATTTACTGAATTTTACAAAACAATAAATGTACTCGTTCTTGTGGTGTTATTGGGAAAGAAGCGAAGCACTTTTTTGTGACAAAGAACAAATGAATTAAGTGATTCGGGGGAGCAAAGGTGAGGCAGTACAAAAGTCCAAATTCCGAAGATCAACAGAATTTTACAAAATTTAAACATCATTCTTCCTTTGGTGTATGTGAATATCGCGTAAACCACTTGTTTTGGCGAAGAGAGTAAAGACGGTACCTAGACAACTATATTATTGAGTACCTGTACGAATCGGATACAACCCGGTGAGCAACGCTGCTCTAGATGGTGTGCAGTAGGGCTGCACGTAGTGGTTATTTAGTAGAATCCCGTCCGCAGCCAAAAGGTCCATATTCGGCGTGGGAATTTGCGATGAACCGTGGAAGCTCACGTCGCCCCAGCCCTAAAAAGAGAAGCAAGCGAGTCACTCCAAAGTCAGAAAGTACGCAAGAGAACCGTGTGAAGCTTTCTTCCCAATCGCATGCGACTTCAAACTTGGAGCCTCAAGCCCGATTTGCATAAAGCAATCTCGCAGTTGCGACGATGACAAGAGCAACTTTTACCGCGCTGTTTTGCGTGTAATGACACAACTGCGAAATCGCAAGTAAGATCGCACCTTGATGTGCGTGCGATATTGCGGCTGCGACTTCCGGCACCAGAGCTACCACCCCGGTTTTGTATTACACAACCGACGTTGTCACTGCGAAATCGCAAGTAAAATTGTACCACGTGAATCAGAAATCAAAAGTGACCTTTCATTGAGCGGTCCATTAGATGGCATTTGTTTGACTAATATGCTAGGCGCTCTCCACTCACCTTTTGACTCCACTAACTGTTCAATCGCGTTTGAATAGAGACAGGCAACTACAGGTTTGAGTCTACCCACTGATAAATATAATCAGAGCTTGGTTCTCTTACCTCCTCCACACGATTTAATCTCCTCTTCATCAGTTTTCATCCGTAATATATAAGCGTTCAAACGCGTTTAACCAGCCCGTAGGGACAAAGACAGCTAGCTTTCCATCTATTCGCAAATTGTTCAACACCAGAGCACGGTGCTGCGACGTTTTCGCGCGCTCTAACGTCCTCCTTTCTCCCTCTCTCGCTTTCTATACGTATGGTGAAAGACAGGAATAGAACCGCAGGGCGCCTCTTTCAGATGCTCGGCTCCTGGAACAGGATCTTTGCTTTTCACTGTGCTTTGGCTGCGCGGCACGCTCGATATAGACGCTTTACACACGTGCCAAATTACAGCCGCCATTGCTGACCTTCTTTTGTCTTACCGAGATGCCAAAAAACTGAAACGGTAGTTGACGATCCTCTACAAAGGCCGATGCTTTAGAAAAGGACACCGTTGAATCTAATATGGCAATAACCTGGCCTGCTATGGTAATGATGAAGTGAAATAAACGAAATAAGAGGAAACAAAAACTGAAGGTCAGTTATGGCGGCGCCCATGCACAGCTGCTGCAAAGCGTCTATACACGAGACGCCGAAGCCGCTGTCGAAAGTAGGAAGCTCGCACTTGAAACCAGACAACTGAAGGACCACACTGCTGTTGTAATCCTGAAAGCTTATTCACAATTAAAATGGCAAGACACTGATGCAAAAAAGGAACTGTGCATACGTTCAATAGACCCTAAATTAATTAATTGGGGTTGTGTGGATATTTGTGCAGCATCTATTTGGTCAGACATTTCAAAATTTAGGCGAGTCACTCGCTGTAGGTGAGCAATTTAGCCAGTCCAGTACAACCGCTCGCCTGGGGTCTTTAACGTGCACCAGTCAGTAGTGATACGCGACCTCACGCCGGTACGATGCTCATCCAGATCGAAACGGGCAGGGGTGGGGATTGAACCCAGCATCCCTGGGTTCTGCAGCGCGAGCTTTCGCTCCACGTGCTCCGAGCTGGTGTGCGCTATTTATTCACTCGGCCACCGATACTTTTTTCTTTTTTTATGAAACAGCAAGTTTATTGAGAGTTTGGAAGCTTATTCCGAACAAAAGCAGACAGCCGACAAGCCGGCTGCTTTTCCGTTAGAATATGAGCAGCCTGAACGTTATATTATTATACGCTAAAACTTCACATACACCATTTCTGGAGACGTCTTTCGATTAAGTCCCAGTGCTCCTTGTCCTCTGGAAATATTTTTGCCGCAACACTGAGAGTCCACCTCGAATTGGTCGCAAAATGCCACTATGCTCGCTTGGCACGGATGTCGCACTCGAGATACGCAGTTCGGGATCGCCAGATCGCGTGCAGTCCGAGCACCACTAAAACACGCAGCACAGTTGGAGAGTGCTTCTCGCTATCAACACACAACCATTTGAAAACGTTCCAGACAATTTCAAACTCTACAGTGAAGAGGCACTTCAGTTCCGCCCAAAAAAAGGTCAGCGTTGCTACTTTCCACAAACACGTGATGTAAGGTTTCAGTCGCCCCGGCACAAAGCAAAGTTTAGCGACCACGGCACAAAGGATCCTTTCCTATCAAGCCACACTTTCACAGGGAGCACTTCAACATAAACACGGACGAAAAAATCTTTGCTCCTTGTAGGCACAGGCAGCTTTCTCAGCTGCTTAATGTCATCGGATGAGTTGAGAACGTTGACGCACTGTCGGTAGAACTGCACGGGTAAAACTGCTCAGACAGTGTCCCCGTAAAGTGTCTTCCGTTTCACCGTCAAAAGATACTCCTAAGAGAAATGAACCAAGAAGAACCTGATTGAGTCGGCAACTTCCTTGTAATATCCAAGATGCCTCGACGTGGTCGTCCGACTCGTGGTGCTCGCCATTGATTGTTGCAGGTTTCCATATCCTAAGCAGTGGAATGCGCTCGTAAAAATTGGATCTCTTTGATCTCTAAAAAATAGAAAACGCTGCACATAAAGTTTGAGGGTCATATTCAAGCCCGAAGCCACCACTTTCGAGATTCCAAAACAGGTTGCTGTTTCACATCTTTTCCATTTGCGATTGCCAAATCAAAGTGGCCCAACGTCTCTGGATGGCGTTCACTGTGCCTGCGCTACAATAAGCCACTTGCGCCACGTACAGGATCGCAGGGTATGACACCGCGTCGCAGACATAGCTTCTAAAAAACATTGACAAACGTTTTGCTGTCCGAGAAGACAGTTTTAGTTGTATGGTCTTCAGTTTCTGATTCCACTGTTGTGACGTAGGTACTGACAGATCCATGGACACGCCGAGGTACTTTCCACGCCTGTAGACCATTTGGCGCCCATGAACTCCAATCGCTTTGTGGCCCACTCTCCGAGCCAGCTCCCTTTCGACTTGTTCTTATTGGGTCTTGCTCCGGAGCACCGACCGTAGCTTCCCTGGTTCATCCAAGACTGTATCGATTTCTCGCTTTGAAAAGCATACAAAAGAAACATCGTCCGCGTACGCCAGGAGTTTTACAGATGCTCCCCCAGGTTAAGACCGGAGATCGACTTGTTGCGCTGCACCTCGAGGCATAGTGGCTCCAGCTGTAGAGCGAAGAAGATTGATGACATGGGGCAGCCTTGCCGGACAGAACGCTGAACCGAAACTGGCTTTCCTTTCTTCCCATTTATTAAAAGCCGCGTGGTGATGCTTTTGTAGCACAGCGCTATAGAATCTCTCCTCACTTCGCCCACCCCACATCGCTCCAAAATCTTCATTAAAAACTCGTGGGACACTCAATCAAACGCTTGACCGGGATCCGTCTGCAGCATTGCTAAAGGTTGATGACCTTGGCTGTCGCTTCACAGACAAAACGCATGACGTGAAGGTTCCGATAAATGTACCGTCCTTTCAAGCCATAGGTTTTGTGCTCTCCGATGACGTTTTTCAGTCCAATAACCAGACGCCGTGCCAATATTTCCGCCATAATCTTGTAGTCTGTGCTTAACAAACTCGTAGGACGGTTTGTTACTTCGGGGATTTCCCCGCAGGTTTGTACTTTTAGAATCAAAACAGTGAAGCTCTCTTTCATCGATGGGGGAAATACCTGTCCGTCTTGTATGTCTTGAAACACTGTCAGCAGAATGGAGCAGAGGAGGATTATTAACATCTTATAAAACACGGAGCCTATTCCGTCCGGGCCCGGAGCTTTGTTTGCTGGCAGATTCTTGATTGCCCAGTTGACTTCTGCTGTACTGATTGGCTGATCCATGCGGTCCTTATGTTCGTCTGACACGTGTCGCAGATCGTTGAGAAAACTATCGGTGATGTAATTATCTATATCTTTTCTTCGAGACAACTCACTGTAAACGGCTGCAAACATTTTTTCAACTTCTGTTTGTCCTTCCGCTATGACATCACCGTTTCTTGCTTTCAGAATTGTACTTTTTTCCTTTCTGTTCTTTCCAGCATTGCGAAAATGTTTGTCGGCAGCCCTTCTTCGGTTAACATACGAGTGCGGCTCCGGACTGCAGCACCATTTTGCTTTCCTTCCAGTAACTTGAAAAGTTGTGCTTTACATTCTTTTATGTCATCCTAAAAAACTCCAGGGCTTCGTTCATCTTCGACAATCAGTGTCTTGAGGGTCTGTACCAACGCCCTTTTCTCTCGCGTGCGCTGGAGCTGTCGCTACTGCGAACAGTCAGTTGCGTTCGAAAAAGGAAACTCGGCCACCGATCCCCTAATAGGCCCTTTTCTATGCAAGCTTTACAGACCTGATCACCATGCGGTGCTTCAGTCTTTCACGTCCCAGCGAACTTCCAGTTCATGTGCATAGAAATTTTATTTGCATTGTGTACATCAATCTACATGTATGGGTCAGTGAGATATTTTGTGTTAAGAAATAAACAAAACTGGCACCTCAAAGGACGTGACATACTATAAGGCAGCAGCTACGAAAGCGCGATCATGTACAGAAGAAAATATTTTTTCTACAGGTGCGGGCCTGCCCAGGTGCGCACGTTTCTTACACTTTGTTGAGGGGCGCGAAAGACAAGTGGTCGTATTCACAAGGGTCACGTAGCGACAAGGCCACCTCCGCAGCAACTGCCACTCCCCCGACCGGAAACGTTCCGCATAGAGGTAGTGCCGCGAGGCTCCGTGGAGAAGTGACAACAGAGGCCACATGGCTCTGGGTCGACGTTGTTGACCAACAGCCAGGTTCGGTTTCTGCCAGAGGGTAAATTAGCCAACCGCGAGAAGAAGCGGTCAAGGTGATCAAGGTGGGCAGAAGAACCGGTCAAGGTGGGCGACGTGATGAAGCTGGAGGGCTCGGACACCGTAGTGAATGAGCCGCCAGGAAGTCCGCGCTACTGGGCAGGCAACGAAGATATGAGATGTATTATCGACCTGCCCACAGTTGGGGCAATAAGGGCTATGCCCCATCAGTGGAGGCCTTGTCTGGCGGGCAGTATCCCCACCCTCGGCGCAATTTAAAATCCTCTACGGGCTCAGGATGACGGCGGGACACCAGCGTCAGCCACGGAAAGGAGGTCGCCCGGCTTTGCTCCTCGGCGGTTGCTCGCTGCACACAGACATCTTTGACAATGCGAGCGGGTGGTCCATCGTGCATTGCCAGGTCTGGGAACTTGCGCTTCGGCTCAATATAGAGGCCCACCGCCGCCTGGTAGAAGGGGGGTATATACTCGGTACTTGGACAGAGGTTGTCCAAGGCGCTTGGGATAAGCATACTACGTGAAGATCCCAAAAAATGAAAGCGAGGGAACGCGCAGGGTGCTCGTTTTGTTCTCTAGTACCTCCAAGATGATGCCAACAGCTATGAGATGGGACATGGTGTCAATACACGGCATAGTTCTGCCACCAAGGGACGTAGGTAAGCGAAGCACTGACCATGTGACGATTTTGGTTCCCTTCCTCTAATAAAAGCGAAAGAGGCAGCAGTTTGCCCGCAGAACGAAATAAGAAAGGGGGGGGGGGGGAGCTCCGATGTGAGCTGCGTAGAAATGTTGGGCGCAAAAAACTGCTTTAACCAAGTTCGCTTTGTCCAGAAGGAATAAGTATAAATGCTTCTGCAACCAAGAACTGTCGTCCGAGACCAGAGATCGCAGCCTCCTATATACTGGGCGCCACTCCCCGGCAGTCAAAGACAACGCCGAGTACACCCATCTCGGTGACGACCAGAACATCTGTTGGCAAGGTTGGGGGAACACAGCATAGAATAAGGAAGCAAGGCTCTTGGAGCGGTTTAAGCGCGTACCATGGAAAAGTACCATACCCTAAGAAGTACTTAGTGGCAACTTCAAACCTCCCAGAATCTCAGGGAAACAAGAAGAGGACGGTTTTTATTTCGCAGATTTTATATGTACAAATGCTGTGCATGGCATCTGAATCCATAGCCATAAGGCTAGTTTTAGAGCCGAAGGCATCGGCCGCGTCCGAGGAAATGTTGGAGACGGGGGCGTCTTGGGCAACCGCTTCCACCGAGGAGCCGGTGGCTGGGTCAATGGCAGGCGAAGGTGGGACTCGTCGAAGGACGGGGGGTTCGGGGTCTTCCTCGAAACAGGCGACTGGGAAGGGACCTCCTTCGACGGGAGCGCATGCCGGAGGAGAGGGCCGGGGGTCTCGGAGCAGCTCTTCGGCTGAGGCGTATACATACGTCTTTCGTTGCGTGCAGTCGGTGATTGCGCAGCCGCGGCCACACCGCAAGCAGGGCGCCGTGCAGCCAGCGGGCTGGTGGCCCAAGACGCCGCACCGGCCACAATGTGGGGCATTGCAGGTCGGACCGATGTGACAATCCTGCCAGCACCTGCAGTATAGGCGTCGGAGGCCGCGGTAGTCCACCATGACTTGGTGGACTACCGCCAAGTACCGGTGGCGGACAAGGACGAAGATACAGAGCCTTTCTGGACTCGGCAAGTAAGCAAGCCGAATTCTTATAAGCGCTCTGTCCTGTCCTGTCTTACCTTTCTCTTCTCTTGTCGTTTGCGCTAATTTTATCTGATCATGTCTAACCAACTAGCCCAACAGATGATATTGATGACTTGGTGGCCGGGGACAGTGATGAAGTTGGGGATGGGCTTCCTCATGTCCTCCTTCACCACACTGGTGCCGGTCTCGACGTCGGGGCGGTCTCGGAAGGTCGCGTTGGTGATCGCCTTCACTCTTCACCCTTCCTAGACTAGGAAGGCCTCAGCGCTCTTTCCGCACGGCCGAAAGAGGCCATCAGGGCAGCGCGAAAGCGCAGAAGAGGAGGCAAACACACGCGCACTTCTTTTCCAAAACATTCGGCCATACGTTAGAGATATCGATGTATCAGTGTTGTTTTTAGGTTTTGGAGCGTCCCGCCTATCGCTCCCGCCTTGTTTTGTAAACTCCGAATTTTGCTTCAGTATCCCTTTAACCAAGTATAGAAACACATTAAAAAAATGGAACTGTACTTTTTTTAGGTTTTTGGAAGACCGGAACGAGTAACGTAACTACATTACCCGTAACTTTGTTTTTAAGTAGCGAGTATGTTACTACGTTACTGAACAAAGTAACGCGTTACCACTAATGCCGTTACATGTAACCCGATACCGGCAACACTGGTACCAGCGTCTCGAATGTATAGGACTCACATCATCCGCTCCGGAGCATCTTCAACTTCTTCCACCACCAGCAACCACAAGGCTGCCATTATTACGAAAGCCAAGGTTACTGGAGCAAGCTCAGGTTCACAGCTCCGCCTGCGACGTGGGCTCAGTGGCGGTCACGAAAACTTGCAGCGCTGCAGTCGAGTTTTGCTTCCAGATTGTCTAGCCCACCAAGTTTGAATAGCAATACTTAAGCTTGGGCGAGTTGGTGATTCATACTCACACTCCACAGCGCAAGGAAACAGACGAACACAAAATTAAATTTAGAACACTTAAAGAAGGAACACTCACAATGCGCTGACTCTGATCTTTTTTAGTGTATTACACTTCATCTTCATCATCTTTTTTTTTTCTTTTGTTTTTGCTATTACACAGATGGAAGTAAAAAAAAAAGGAAGAGACGAAAAAGAAAAGGAAGCTCTCAACGCAATGGTAGCAGACAACGGATGAGACAGGGAAGCAAGATCCGACTGCAGCGCCGCTAATTTTCGTGACCGCCACCTGGGCCACTCGCCTCGGCAGGCGAGAATAGGGAGCTGCGAAACTGAGCTTGCTCAAGTAACGTTGGTTACGACAAATGTGCCATTCCTCAGATGATGATAGTGAACAAAGTGGCCAGACTGAATTTTGGAAAGCGTCTATTCTTTCACAGTATTAACACTCCTGATGTCACAGAGCCCTCGTGGGAAGATCTAAGTCGAGTCGTTACGGCCCTAAATGTGATCCTCAACTGAGTACTATTTTTGCTTTCCATACTTTCCAGACGCGCTTGAATTTTAAGAAACACAGTTTTGTGAAAAGAGAAAAGTTGTCACTTACCAGATCGTCGGCGAGGATAAAAATAATATGCGGCTGCTTCAGTGAGGAGGAAACAACGGAGAAGCTTAAAAGCAAGCAAAGGACGTAACAACACCTGTAATTGATAGAGGAAAAAAATTTTAACAAAACGGACTAATCAGGAAACAAAGTATTCGTGCTGCAAGTTGTGTTGATTTGTGACTGAACTGAAGACACAATTACGATGGTAGCAACGACGGACAGCACAAAGAATACTGTTTGTCACTATTCAAAACGAGATTATAAAATATACCAACTCAAGATGGCTTTTTTTTTAGAGTGCACGAAGAGTATAATGTTTGATTTGACTGGGGCTGGGTTATTCATTGCCCTTAGTGCTAAGGGTGAACCCACGACATACCGCATCTTTTTGCACTGATAAATTAAGCTAGGGGTGACCCTGCTATCTGCGATCCGGAAGCAGTTCTAGCGCATGCCTTGTTTATTATCATTTCTAATTGTGAAAATGACTATGCTAAATATTGAAACCAAAACAAAAACGACTGGTATTTGCTTATAAGACATACTGACCATTAACAAAATATTACGTTAAAATGACGTTTGAACCGACAATGAAAACGTCATTAAAACGCTATCGTCTGCTCAAATCTCTCTTTTTTTCTCACTCTTCTCATATTCAAATTACGTAGTAGCCGGCATTCTTCGCAAGGCTGCCAAACTCAGCACCAAAAACTTTACTATACTTTGTCGCAAGTCCAGACGGAGCCGCAGCTACGAGCTGATGGAACCAATCTCAGCCTCGAAGGTACATCGTAATTGTGGTCGTCATATTTCTGTATGTGTCCTATCGTGGATGAATCAATCACAGACAAAAAGAGACCAATGACTTGCGCTTTTGACGCTGCTAGATTAGTATCATGACCTCGTAGCGTCGGCTGTGTTAAGCTGAAACAAAGTATAGGGGGAACATGTTGCTCCGGGAAAATGCGGTGACCTCGGAGCCGACAGCCTTTGCGTAGTTGGAACAGTCAGACGCACGGAGTCTCGGGGGTTTTATTTTTAAATTGGGCGATGCGGCTGCCTCCGCCGGTGCTCATCAAGCTTAGCCGGCAATTTTCCTGAAGTTTTGATTGCGCCCTACAGCGCGGCACGCTTTGTGAGATGCAATTATTAGATTACAGATTTTTTTCAATGAAATCAAATGCAAGGAAAGGTATTTAAATCACTCAAAGCCACAGTTTTTTTTTGTTTTTTTTTTAACGTAGGTAATCTGATTAGACGTCTGATTGTTCCCGTGTCTCACGTTGCGCCATCTGTCGACAGCAGATACAAGTCGGCCAGCTCCGCTATGCCACCATCTCTGAGACGCAGCACTTATTTTCCCAAAACAACTTTCAACGACCGCTGACCGCTCGTAAGAAAAAACCGTGGTGTTCAATGCGAAAGCAGATAATTTTCCTCGGCCTACACGGTTTGTCGCGTCTTCATTTGGCGAGCTAGCGTCTGATAAAGTTTACGCACGCGACAGACTTGCTGCTTTTAAAGGGGTACTCCACCGATTTTTTGAGCTACCTCAACTAACTATATTTTCTGACTCCCCGGCCTTTACTCTCTCCGGTATGCTATTTAGAATCGCGAAATTCATAATAGTTATTGCAAAATGGGCAAATGAAAATGATGCAAAAACCAACATTCAAATATACGCGCGCTTTTCAGGGCCGTGACGTCAGTGGCAGGCAGGCTTGCCAGTCGAGCAAGCAGCCAAAAAATAGAATATGCCAATCATTTGTTCCGTGCTGGAGCGCGGGTACTGCAGCGAGCTTCCCAAGCATTCATTTGACACCATGAAACTGCTTCGAATCAGTTTAGAACAAAATCTACAGCCCAAAGAGTGAACCCCTGCCTTCCACTGACGTCACTTTTTCATTGTTGCCAGTAGAGACTTCGAGCTTGAAAAACACGGTGAGGACCAAAACTGTAAATTCAATAACTTCGCGAAAAAACAATATTTTGACCTAATATTTGGGATACTATTTTTGCGATGTTTGTTGATTAGTTTAGCAAAATTTCAAGCAAATCGGAGACAATGAAAAAATCGGTGGAGTAGCAAATAATATAAATATTCACGACGCTGGAGTTTTGGGTGTTTGTTTTTATTGAAAAAAAAGATGAAATAATGTGCAATATTTTTGCACAGGAAGACTATTACCATCAGTACCAGATTTCTCATAAGAGTAACTGCGGAATGCTTGTGGACTTATAATTAACATACTCTGACCAATGGTCAGGCCCCGACACTTCGTGTTGTAGGTTGTCATTCATCATGTTTCTGACTGGTTCTCAAAGCTCTGCAGACTCACCATTTTATGGGGGCCGTCATGCCGCAAGAACCTTTTACTCGTGTGCTCTCGTTGGCTCTCAATACTTTCTTCTATTATGTATCAGTCTGAAAGATGTAGTGAAATCAAGATCTTAACAACGCGATCGCTCTTTCAAGTTGTTTGCTAGTACAGTGTATTGGTGCTGGAATTCAATCTCTAACAGTCATCAACATGTCTGAAATGTTTACGTCATTCTTCCCTTTTGTAAAAGGACTGATATGTACAATCCTTACGCTTCAAAAATATATGAATCTTTAAATGAGGTTTAATGATTATTACACACCTGTTGCTGCACATAACGGTGCCCTAATCGTTAACACCATAGTGACATGAGTAACAAATCCCAATGTCCTGAACGACACCTTCAAGATCAACATCATTTGCGCTAAAGGTACATAAGAGCAAATTATTTTAAGTTCTCCTAATTCACACTTTGTAAACTTTGTTTCTTGCTTATTGGCGCTTTTATCTAGCAGTGGAAAAAACGTTCTACGATACCTGCGTATAAAGTATACCGGGTAGATAAGAGAGAACTTTCAAAATTAAAAAAAATAGCGTGGTTGAGAAAGAAATTAACACTTTTCGGGACCAAACAAACCAAATCCCTACCTGGTGACCAGGTAGGGATTTGCACCCTACCAGGTCACCAGGTAGGGTGCAAATACCACGGTATCTTCGTCACCACGAGGAATCTTTTGATACACACAATGACGTGGCCGGTGCCCAAAAACGCTTGGCAACTTTTTAAAAAGTCACATGAAACCGACGTTATTTTACTTTTTAAAAACGAAGAGGCTCTTTTTCCTAAAGCGCGACAACAACTCCGTCCCTTGTGATATGCTCCTGCCCTGACCGCTTCGCATTTGGAGCCAAATAAGTATAAATGTAAACACACTGACCAGCGCCCGCGAGCAGGCGCTGAAAAAATCTTATCCCCGTCCCTTCTGTCATCTTATACCTACCGCCCCACCATTCATACGGCGTTAAAGTTGCAAATAGGTTTCTCTTTTTTGGTGGAGCGCCCTGCCCCAGGTGGTCAAGGCGCGCATCTACTGCCTCGCCTCCCTTGTAGGATGGGAATTCAGTCTTAATTGTAAACGTTACTAAAAAAAGTAATAGATTACAAATACTATTACTCTTGGCTAAAAAGTATTTGATTAGAATACTTGATTACTCGACAGCAAAAGTAATTGGACATTACTTTAAGAAGTAACCGTTACTTTTCCGCATACTTTACTGTGTGAAGTCGTATATCTTTAGCGCACATAACAATGAACTGCTTTCAGCCTGTATTTCACATTTTCACAAGTATTCAAGAAGGAAAAACGGATTCCCTCTTCGTAATCGTTTCACCTTCACAATGCGGACACAAGCATAGCATTTGTTTGAGGAAGTTTAATGCGCTTCTCCAGATATTATTCACATAAGGATGAACTCGCATGTTATAGAAAAGAGCAGCAGCTCCAGGATTTGAAACGGATCATGTGTAGTATTCATTAGCGGAAGAGATCGCCCCGACCACTTCTCAACTCAAAACCTTTCTTGCCACAAAGACCACTAGGGGAAATTTTGGATCTTGACGCGTATTTGAACAGGCTTTGCTATACGTCGCATCCACTTTAGACATTTCTCGGTTCGGGTTCTCCTACGGGCTGCGAGTAGGTACCGTAGCAGGATATCTTTTTATTTCTCTGTGTGTGTGCGTGAGGGAGCTAGTTTTAACGTAGTACTAACAAACCTACAATCTTCTCCCTCAAACTTTGCCCTGAATGGCCTATGTCACGCACTGGGGCTTCCCTGAGGCTTCCCACTCCCAGACCCAGCTCGAAAATAAACGGATATTCCACAGAAACTGTACATACAAACGGGTTGACCTGGTTTCCTACAGCTCCGCAAAAATCTTTCTTTTTTCCGTTCGAAAAAAGAAGCAAATTTTATTTTTGACATTTCAGAAAACAAAAGTGTGTGTGTGTGTGTGTGGGGGGGGGGGGAGGGGGGGGAGTGGAAAAATAGTAACAGTTGGAAGTAATTTTTATTACTTCAAAAAGTTATCAGATTACTCTTGTGATTACTGCCTAATAAAAGTAATCATCTTATTACAAAATTACTTCAAAAAGTAATCGATTACAAGTAATTTGATTACTTGTAATGCGTACGGTAGAAGTCTGGATGGGATGCGCTCAGCGCAGGTGCGCTGAGCGTTGTAGGTGTTGCCGAAAAAAAGTAACGAAATACGTTACTCGTTGCTTCCAAATGAAAGGAGCGCGTTACGTTACCGATAGAAAGTAAGGCACGTTACTTTTGCGTTACTTTTTTTAATTATTATTTAACACTTTTTACAGTTTTGAGGTGACAGGTAGGCATAAGCGCCATATTTCAAAAAACATTCTGTTCATGCAGGAAGTGAACATAATTACTTAATATTTTTTGCGGTTTCACCTAATTACTCACGAGTAAAAACGCAAAGCAAAACGCAAAAATACTCAGATTAACACGGCTTGGCGCCTGGAAACACGAAACAATTTTAAGGGCTATTTTTTTAAGGCTATATAGGGAAAACTAACCAGTAACGTAACTGTGTCACACCTTACTTGAAATAAGTAATGTAGGTACGTCACCCGCTGCTGTTTTGAAAAAGTAACTTGTCACGCGTTATGGCCAACACTTGTTGAGTGCCTCAGCACCGGAAAAGGAGGGGGGGGGGGGGGCGCGCAGGACAGTGCCGTTTGCGCAAAGATGCACTTCTATAGAAAACCTTAACCTAGCGTCCAACCTAGCGTTTTTCTTTTTTTTTCTTTTGGAACACCGTAAAATGCAGTAGGTACCTTAAATATTCCTAAGTTAAGTTGATTTAGTGTCTTTTTACTATGCTCACCAGGATTATAATTGAAATTGTAATCACTGCTTATTAATTACATTGTTAACTAATAATTCATAGGAAAATATTTCGCTCATTTATATCTTGTTTTACAATCCCTGACGTCCGCCCTGGTTGGCAGTCTGTTCCCGTAACACCTTCTTTTCTTTATTCTCATCCACAACATTCTGAAAGATTTTTTGTAGGCTCCACTAAAACATTAGGTGTATGTTTAGACAAGACATATATATATACATTAAGATAGGTAGTAGAAAGACATTGCCGCATTTTGAAAACTTGTTTGGTTTCCAATCTCGGGTAGTTGAAGTTGTACTGTTGAGTATGATTTCCTTGAGGCCTGTCTGGTTTGAATATTTACTACACTTCCTTCCGTTGTCTTCCTTAAAAATTACACGAGAATCACACGTCGAACTACGTTCTTTGTCATTTTTTTTTTCATTTTAACCCAGAAACGTATGCTACCCTGCTTCTATTATAAATGCGCAGCGCTAACCTGAGAGAATTATCAGAAATTCACTCTGGCTACTTTGATCACTATCATCATCCAAGAAATGGCATATGCATCGTACTAATGGCGGCCTTGTGGTAACTGATTATGGAAGGCGTTGAAGATACTCCAAAGCGGATTATGCGTGGACTATGCATTTGAAACGTGAGTACGATGCGACGCCGGAATTGATTGCAAGAGCTGCGTAAGCATTCATTTCTAGCTCGGGTCCAGTCAGTCTTTTGGCGGCACATCACCGGCTCTGTAGTCCCTTGGTGTGTAAAACTTAATCACGGCGTCAATGTGTATTTGTGCTGCTTCGTTCTTACTACTTATATATATATCATCATCGAAAATGAGAAATCCAGAAAGAGTTGTGAGAAAAACGAGTCATTCTCGACTGCTGTTGACTAGCGAAAGTGATGGGGCCCGGCAAAATACTACAGATTGCAGGTCCATTTCCGCCATTAGTACGGCAAAAAGGTGAACTTCTCGTTGAGCCCCCAGATCAGAGTAAATTTCGAAAAGGGCCTATTGCTGTGTTAACTGAGGTCAGGGCTCGTAACAGTCAAGTATCGCCAAGCTCAATGTTGATTGGTTCCCGTTTTTTTCCCTTTGGCTGAATGCTCACTAAGAACTAAAATGTAAAACTGCACCGTGGTGCCACGGACTTGAAGTTTTAAACATTCCAAGTCGTGTATTCACTGAAGCTCAATGTTGCAATGCTTGAGTCTAGCTATCAAATGATAGTATATATATTTGACAGCTTGAACCAGGGGAAGATATAGAGAAATTGAGACAGGAGAGAATAGACAGCTGACTACCAACGATTATTTAGTGGGAACTTCTTTTTCCTTGCGTGTTTTCAGACACCAACAAAAATTATTACATATTAAAACCTATTATACTAATATAATAATGCATGTGTATGTTTACAAAATTTTCACATTACCTAAACCTAAACTAATATTTTAAATTCACCCGCCTCAAGCTCATACTGCCATTTTCTGGACCGTGACGCACCGTAGATATTGTCTCTCCTTTTTGTGTATAGTGATGGACGGGGTGCTGACGCACCCACTCGCTTGTTCTTCGATAGCAAACGCCTCGAGCATCTCGCGCGCATGAGTATTGTTATTACTGGCTAGGATGGTTATGTCCTTGAACGCTGCACTGCAGTGGCAAGTCCTGCAATGAGCTGCAAGATGCCCTGCCGACGTTCCTTTAAAGCGCGAAACACATGTACGACGAAACCGTCCGATCCGACGTCCGACCGCGCAATACGACGGTCGGAGGCGAGGGTTTTCAACGCTCTCCGATGCTACGAAAACCCTCTCCCCTCAAGGCCATTCCGGCAGTCCGCACGTCGGATCGGAAGGTTTTCGTCGTACATGTGTTTCGCGCTTTAGGGATGCTGCGTGCTCGCGGGCTCTGTCGTTAATGCATCGGCCCGTCTGGCGGATGTAGCACTTCCCGCATGAAAGGGGAATGTTGTAAACCACTCCTGTCATGCATGGTACATATTGTGTTCTGTGGGCAATGTCGCACGTTTTTTCTTTGCCTGTTCTGTTGTTAACTCGTCTGCACATGGAGTACGCTTTGTTAGGCGCGGAGCATACTACTTGGATCTCATT